ATCTGGGTGCATGTAAGTAGCTGAAGAGAATTTTTTTTTCATATACATACATACATACTTACGCTATTCATAAGATATTTGTATCTCGTTTCTATTTTCGGTGTAAATTTTTCTAGAGCCGCCTGTAATTGCTGTTGGTAACGTGCGAGTATAATAGCTTTTTGGGCCTCCGGATCGACGGGTGGTAGGCCTTCGAGATACCTAAATCTTCTGCGAAAAAAAAAAAATAAAAAAAAAAACAACAAACCAAATAAATTTGGTATAATTCACATGTGCATAAAGATATGTATAGTACTTATAAGTATATGTTCATACATTTTAAATTGAAGGTTATAAATGCACAACAAGTGCGGCTGTACACAAGTGTTGTCTGGCTATGCATATGATAAGCATGGCAGAAAAAAAATACATACACAAAAACTACACTTTTAAATGGACGCATAAAATCTTGTTAATTTATTTTAATGAGCCTTGACTTGCTAGTATGATGTTGTTCAGTGCTCAGCTTTTACATGACAGTTGCCTTTGGGTAACCGGGTGGCATATGCACTGACAAGCATTGCATTAATTAAGAGCTTAACCAAGGTAACGTTGCACATGCAACCCAGTGTAGCACTAAGCATAAACGCATAAGCAAATCTACATACACACACACATATACAATCTACGCAATTGTTTATGTAGGTACTTGTATGTGGTGGATGCATCATTGCTGCGGGCCTAAGCTGCAAAACAAGTTGTGCATGTGGCTTGCAACACACCTTTTCATAAGGTTTGCCGCACACAAATGGTTTGCGGCTATTTTATGCGGCCATTTTATTTTATTTTATTTGATTTTTTTTTTTTTGTTGGGGTTTTCATACAATTTTCGTGCAGGCTTTGTTTGAGTTTTTACTTACTGACGCTCATAGTGCTTCATGCATTTCATATAGTCCTCGAAGGTGGGAAAATCTTTGGGGTGTAGTAGCATATCGTGGCGGTTACAAGGATGCTTCTTCGGCTATGCGGGTGGACATGGAATAATAGTAGAAAAAAAAACATTGAATTAAAAAAGTTCACTTATACAGTTATGTAAAAACAAGAAAAAGAAGAAGAAAACAATAACTTAACAGCAGCGTGGAAAGGCGAGTGCGTGACAGTCAGTGCTACCAACTTTCAACCTTTGTCTATTTTCTTAACTTTCTTTATTGTTCAGTTATTTGCACTTTTTTCTCTCGTTTTCCTTTCTTACTTTCCTTATTCTGTTTGTTTTTTTTTTTGCATGCCAACCGACTTATAACTTCAACACTTTCAAGGCAGCTATCTCCTGCTGCTGCCGCTTTGTTCTGTGTTTGCTTTACCTTTTGCTAACTGCAAATATTTGTACGTCTTCCCTCATTCACAACCCACCTGTTTTACACCGCGTTTCGTTTTCTTTTCGCTGCCTGCATCTCCGGCTCCTCGCTCAATTGCACTGGACGTTTTCTTGGGTATTGCGCCTGCTTTAGTTGTTGTTGTTGTTTTTGCTGGCGCCATGGTAGCCGCATCACCTTCGGCCTGTCGTTTTAAGTTCTCTCTGGCACGTCGCAATGTTGGCTCTATTAATTTGTCTATAACTTTACCCATGCGTATTAGCTCGTTCCGGCATTCTGCAACGCGTGCCACATGCAACAAATTTATACAACATACATATACACATACTATATATTTAGGTATGTATTGGCATAGAAATTAAAAGGAATCAGACATACAAGTGTTTCTTTCAGCAGAAGTACATAGCTGCAGCAGTTGAAAAAGTTTCGCATGAAAAATGCAAAAGTATCTATAAAAGTGTCTAAGTAGCTTTTGAGAGAGCACAAGCGAATAAAGGAATTTCGCTACACCGTTTGCCAGGGAATTATGTAATTTATGTATTTTGTTTAGCAGCGCAATACTTTACTTAATAGTTGGTTCTTTGTTTGGTTATTTTGTTGCATACCTTCAGGCGTGCGCAGCGCATAGTGATCGCCAGGTGTGAATATGAGTGACTTGCGTGGACGTTTTAAGGCCTCAATGCGTAGATGCCTTGCAGCAAGTGTGTGTAGGCTGCCTGTAAGGTACACATTTTTTTCTTCAGAAACTTAAGCCTACATATCTACTATATTTATTACCTATAGCATCTGAGGGACTGCCATGCATTTTTCTCAATTCGTTCGTATACAGTTGACTTTTGGTGCGCATATCGGGGTAGAAAATGCGTACACGCCGAGCGCAATAAATCTGAAGTAATTCGCTGGTAACGCGATAAACCATCTCTTCACTGGGTTCCACTGCAAAAAAAATGTTTTCGATAATTGAAAGCAGGTAATAAAGTTATGCTAGCGATCATCTGTGGACATGTGTATCAAGTTTGGCGATTTTTTCTGTAAAAAATTAAATTATCGAATTCATCTTTAATTTTTGTTGTTGTGATTTTCAGATTTAATAAATTTAAGCTGTTACGTGCCGCTCAAAAATTTAAGAGAAAATAATCAAACTTAAAATCTGTGTTCGTATGGAAAACTAGCTTATGTCGAAAGGCTGGCTTTAGTATAATGCGGCATTCCCTTTATTCTTTAAACGACAAGAAGTTTTGCGATGAGACTTAATAGGAATATTGACTTGCTAGTATCGGAACTATTTCTGGCACGTTTATTTGCCAAACGTTGTTCAACGGCTCAGTGCCTGTGAATCATTCGCAATCACATGCTGCGAATGCCGATTTATACTAAATCCAGCCCTTCGACATAACCCACTGGGAAAATAGGTAAGCACCTTGCGAGGTAAGCCATGTTTTCTTTCAGTTCTTAGTACCAAAATTGTCATCATGGCCAATGTCATCTACTAGTAAAGGGCAAAATGAACACATCCGAAGACACATTACGTTGTCAGTTGCAAAATAACGTGCAGCCGAAGTTATTTCCAAGCACCGAACTACTCCGAGCGACTGCTCTGCATTACACGTAACTTACTTTGTAAAGCGGCTCAGAAGTATGT